AGCTGTTTTTCTTTGAAAACCATTCTGCTCCTCTGATTTCTGTCCAGTTTCTATATAATTTGTCTGAATGTTGATCTGCTTCACCATGGAAAGTAATCAGTTTTGGGATGCAGCACTGGAGGAGTTCTTTCTTTTGAAGTCACTCAGAAGAAAAGGGGTTTTTTCCCTCTTAATGTATGTATGGGTATTATGTTTCTGTATAAATATGGTTTTTTTCCACAGGCGGAGATTTTTGCTGAGCTGGGGGAGGTATTGAAGGGTACAAAACCAGCCCTGCCTGAGAAAACAACAGTGTTTAAATCATTGGGTAAGAACAGCCCCTCCTGTGTCCAAGTCTGACAGAAAACAATGCCTTGTTCTTTATTAGGTCCCCCATGCGTGGGAAAGCTGCTGATCATCTTCAGAACCGCTGTGGCAATGCACTGTCCACAAGAAAGTCGACTGTGATTTGCATTTTCCCTTTTTATTTCCCTTCTTGTTTATCTAGCAGGATTGATGTAATGAAAAGTGATAGGAAAGCAGGCAAACAATAGAAGTCCATTTTCCATTTCACAGTTGTTCAAGACATGACTGCAGCATTTATTAATAGAGCTGCAGCCCGACTGCCCTGCTGTTCCACCCGTGGGGTCTGTCTGACCTGAGACAATGTGACAGTGTCCTGTGGGGCTGGGCTTTGGGAAAGGGTGGCCCTGGGGATGAATTACCATGCTCTGAGCTACATGACATCTCCAAAAGGGCCCAGTTGTGATAGGAACAGTGAAAATTAGATTCCTACTGTTACATTAACTTCTTACAGCACACCCAACCCTGCATGATGGCTGTGGACTTTGAATGTAACACTGTAGGTGTTTGGGATGGGAAATAATTCCTGTTCCTGTCCAGTTAGATAATCTCCTGAGTATTCCTGTTCCCTTCTGAAGCAAAATCATTTGTACAGCTGAGTAACTGTTTGAAAGTAACTTCAATTATTTTTCAGGGATGGCAGTTGAAGACACAGTAGCAGCAAAATTTGTTTATGATGCGTGGTCAGCTGGTAACTGAAGAGAGACGTCTACAATGCCAATGAGGCCAAGAAAATTGTTTGCACTTAGTTTCCTTGAATCCTGTGTTAACAAGAAAGGCACCAATCCTATCTAAATCCTTCAAAAATATTCAAGAAGGACAAGTAAAATTTCAGCAATAGACTAATTTCTAAAGTCTTCTAATTTCAAGTATTAGATACTTGCAGTATTGTTAATAAATGTCTCCCTTTTGTAACAGCAAGTATTAGATGTTTGCAGTGATACTAACAAGGGTATCTTTCCATATTTTGGTATCATTCTGGAATCAATGCCTTTCTTCTCTAATTATTTATGTAGCAGAAGCCTGTGTGTAGATTTCATGGTTTTTAGAGGGATCATTAATTCTGGTGTAAAATAGATCAGTTTGTAGAATGGACTCTGGCATCATCTTTACCTGTGATGGTACTTTAAATGCAGCTGTGGGTTTCAGTGCTCCAGTGACAGTGACCTTGTCTTCAGCCTCCTAGGCACACAGCCCACCTCTAACTCCTGGACACACCTTCCCTTCCAGCCCACTGGAAGTCACCATTTTTTTCACCCCTGGCAATCCACCTCCTCTTGCCCTCAGACTCAGTGATTCTTCACTGAGGGCGCAGTTCTGAGTGGGGGTTTATGTAATAACCATACCTCCCTGCAGTTGGTTTTCTGCTCAGTACCTCCCTTAGAACATGCCTCACTGGGATATTGCCATTTTCATATTGCAAGGAGTCACACAGAATGTGAGGACTAATATGTGTTTTGATTTAACTTTTATCTCAGTTCTGTAGGGAACTATTGCTGTTAATCTCTGGTGCCTTTAAGTTGTTTTTCTAAGCTTCTTGAAGGCTCGAGCCACACAAACTGATTTCAAGTATGCAGGCAAATATTTTCAGTTTGGCTGTACCATGCTTCAATTGCTAATTGTTCTATTATCGCAGATATTAGCTGGGGCAGGAATTTTCATGATCCTTTCCTGGCAGAGGAACCCAGTGACATAAGGAAAAGTTCCAGTTTTGTGCTGTTATGCAACTGCCTTGCAAAAGAGTGAGCATCTGCTGAAAAACAGCTATTGCCCTGGAAACAAATTCCTGTCTCAGGCTCACAAGTTGTGCCTTGGGAAGTTTTATTTCCATTTGCGTATTATTTCATGCAGGCTATTAAGTGTTTCTTCGTGCTGTGGAAGAGTTGGATGACAGGTTTTATAACATGTCAGTAGAACAGAGAAGAGCACAGGAAGGAGGGTCAGGAGCAGCTGGCATTAAAGTCTTGGAGGGTGGATAGGTAAGTGTAGAAGAGGTTAATGAGTACAGTGCAGGTGTGATGTAAATAATACTCCCAGCTGTAAGCCTGGTGTAGGCTAGTTGGAAAAGTACAAAGTGGTAGAGGTAGCATAGAAAGGTACCAGACCCCTGATAGGCCTGAAGGATGTTTGATGTGGATCCAAACTGAACTCCACTGGTCCTGTTTATCCCATCAGAAAAAAACAACAGAAATTTCTCTGTGAGCTTTTGTGTTTTAATTGTAGCAAAATTACTCTTCTGTCTTTACATGTCTTGTTTCTTCTCTGTCATTTCTGAAGTGTTCAGAAGTTTGTGTTCACTTAGTTCCTTGGTTCATTCATGCAGAACTACACTAATCTGAGGTAAACATGAAAGCAAACGATGCTCCATTATTCAAGAACTCTATGGAAACTTGCAATTAATAATTATGACAATATTATCCCAGTTCCGTGCCAGTGTTATACCAGATTTGTAATTTGAAGTGAGATGTAGTGTTTGGGAAGAAGACAAGTCCAGTTTATTTTCACATGTACTCCCCTACAGACTATGCACTTTAAAAAAATAAATGGGGCCAGTCCAAAGACCTGGTTCTGAGAACCCACATTGTTCTCAGCTTCATTGGCAGTGGGAGATTTTGGGAGCCTGGCTTCAGTGTTGTACCTATGATGTCATGAAGTTCAGTTACAATGGGAATTGCTTGGATGCCACCTTTAGATTTTCTGAGGGGAAATAATAGCATCAATTTCTGTGTTTCCTTCTCTTACAAACTAATGGATCATGAAATTGTGTGACTTGCATTTATATTAAAATTAAATAGATACTGGTGTTTTTCTTTGACACTCATTTTGTTGTCCATTTCTTTTCTGGTTTGTTGTTGATTTATTTGATGACAAGAAAGTATTCAAGTTGTTGCAGTGACTGCACTCTCAGTAGATGTGATCACTGAATGTTAAATGGAAGAAATAGGGAGTGCTCTGTTCCTCTGTGGAACTCAATTTCTCAGTTGTCCCATGCTGCACATTTTCTTAACGTTTGTTCAGTGCAGAGTATTAAATCCTTAAGGGAGGAAACCTTGTACTTGGCAGGGCTGTGCTCATGTGGGATTGCCTGGTTTTATGATTTGGGTTTGGGTTCTGCTCTAGGATTGCACATGTGATACATAAGGTCTCTCCAACTGAACTGACAGGAGTCACAGCTGGAATTCCAGTGCTTCAAACTCTAAAGGAAACAAAGGGGTTGATAAAATCTGAAAACAGCAAAACACATGAGTGGAAAAAGCAATCATGGAAGGTTGCACAGAACAGGACTTTGATGTGATTGCTTAATATAAGAACATAACCTGCTGTGTACAGGAACCCAAGCAGGGAAGAATGCAGTATAAAGTCCATCTGAGAAAAGATACTGTATTATACAAATCACAGCCACAAGATGATATGGAAAGAAGAAACGTGAAAAACCAGATCATTAAGCAGGATTAGCATCCAGAATTGCAGAATACCCCTAAGGAAAAAATCATAGCTGGCTAATGGAAAGATATAAAAAGAGCTTTAAAGATAAATGTTCTGCTAATGAATGTGCAACTAAAATCTGTGATCTTAGCCAGGGCATGGCTGCTAAAAGCACTTTATTAGATTCACAAAACTCAACAGGAGTGATTAATTTATATCTGATAGTGCTGGCTTCCCAAGGGAACAGGGGAACCCTGCTGTGAACGCCTCCAGATAGTGTGAAGAGCAGGAGCTTCCACAGCAGCACAGCTCATTTTCTTTTTTTATTTTCATGAGCTGTGTGTGTGATACACAGCTCTCAGGCTAAGGCTGACAGCAACCCACAGAAAATGGTGTGTGATATGAATCCTCATTTCTGGGACTTTGCATGGAAAATGCAGCCTATAGGAACCAAGCTGGGGATATACCAAAATAGATCCAAAATTTTGAAAATTAAACTTCAGCTTCTTGTAGTTAAAAGTACAGCAGCCTTGATGACATTTAGGACATGATGGGTGCTGGCAACTGGATCCAGTCTAATGAGACAAGAAAGGAATATACAACTCACACTGAACATCTCTTGGGAAGCTACTTCATGTATTTTTAAATTATTGTCAATATAGAAGTAAAAACTTTCCTGACAAATATATGAAACTTGCAGTAAATTTGTCTTATTTACATTAATTCAGAGGTGATTAGAGTCAATAAATCACAGCTAAAATCAAGATTCAGATTCTTTTCGTAACATACCACCAGTACTAGGAAGAGTGGTTTTACTTATCTTACAGAAACAAATGGAGAAAACTCAAAGCTCTCAAGCTCTGAGGATGCTCTTTGCATTGTGGTTTGGAGAAGAAAAGGCTTTATAAGGAATGCAGCAGGCCTGGCTTTCACTAATATTTGAAATTATCTGGACGAAAAGAAATCCAATCCACATAAACAGTTCTGGGAGAATAAGCTTTTTGGTTTTTACCTTCATTCTTGCTTTTTGGCAGAATATACTTTACTTAATATCCTGTTCACCACAACTACCCACCCAGAGAGAAAAATTGTTATCCCTGCTGTACTTTCCAAAGGAATTGGTAACCTCTCTGCCTTTTGCTTTAGCAGACTTCTGAAAAGAGTTGACCACTCTTTGGAGAGAGGGAAAGGTAATGAATCAGTGTGTAGGTTACAACAATAGGAATGATAATTTATAAGCAAGTATCTACAGTTTTTCCAGGGTTCTTGAGTGCCTGTTTTCTTTTATTCACAGCATTCAGGACTTTCTTTCTTGGCCCAAGCTCCATCTGAATGCTCTGTAGATCTTCATCAGAACATAGCATCAGGGCTTCTAAATCAATTTTTTCCCTCATGAAGACTGGAAGAAACTCATCCAGCATCTGTGATGCCAGAAATACCTCAAGGGGCGTATTCTCTGTTTCCTCATCATCCCAAACAACTTCTTCCTCATTCCAAGGGACATCAGCACTGCTTTCAGCATCATCTTCCCTGCCATTCTCAGTGTTTTCATACTGAAAGAGCTCACTGGCTATTGTATCTCTTATACCTTCTTTCTCAGAAGACACAGTTTCAGGATTTACCTCTGCAGCCAAATTCCTTCCAAACACAATCTTGCCAAGACCTGGCCGCTGAAAAATGGAGAGCTGACTGTCATTATCAGCAAGGTTTTTCTCTCCAAGGTCATTCAGTAATTCATCTTCCTCTCTCTCATCAAACAAATGCATCACACTTTTCCTACCCATATCATCCTCTTGGTCATTTCTTTGTGTTTCCTGCCTTCTTGTGCTGTCAGCTGTCTTTTTTGTCTTAAGTTTCAAGGTATCTTTCAGGTTTTTGGTTAAAGTACTTGTGGTATTTGAAGCAAATAGCCCAGGCAGCTTTACCCTGGAGTGCGTTCCTTTGGAAGAATTCACTGTGCCGACCTTTTCTTTAATATAATTCCGGTTCATTTCATGCTGGTGTTTCTCCTGGCGCTTCTCACATTCCTTGATTTGTCTCTCGACATTCCTCTGGGCCTGTGCCTTTTGTTTGGAGACCTTCTTTGGATTCAGCAGGTTCTGCTCGGTGGCAGCTTTGTCCAGGATCTGGACGCACTCCTTGCGGTCCCTGCTGGCAGCTGCCTCCAGGGGCGTGCGCAGGTCGTTGTCCAGGGCGAAGATGTTGGCACCAAAGTTGACCAAAAAGGAGACGCAGTGGATGTGGCCATTGCAGGCAGCGTGGTGCAGGGGCGTGTTCCCCCAGATGTCACACTTGTCCGGGTCACCCCTGCCAGGGAGAACAGCACACAGTGAGCTGGGCTACCCACACTGAGCCCTGCAGAGGCACTGAGCAGACACCAAACGTGTCACTGCTCTGCTCCGAGGAGAACAGCCCAGGGACAATGGCTCAGCGTGGCTGCAGCTGCTAGAACAGGGCTGCGCCCCCTGACACAAGCCCTGAGTGAGGCTGTGTGTGTGGCATGAGCTCTAATTCCTGCCCTGAGAGTTTCACAGGGCTGACTGTGACTGCATCTCCCCACAAGGGAGCCAGGACATTTCCTTTGCCATCCCAGGGTCTGGCAACCATAAGTGGGCTCAGGCTTTGACTTATTCTCATTGGAATTACTGGCAAAACTGTTTCAAGAACATTTCCATGGAATATTTTAAAGTGCTTTTGGTGATTTGTTCCTTTTGCATGTCAAATAGAGGGCAATATTAGACGGTTTCCTCCCTGGCCACAGTGATACACACTCAGTGAGCTCCTGCAGTAACTTTTTAGTTAGGTAATAGGTAAATGATCCATAGTAAAGCCCTGATTACTCCTTTGTCTCCACTGCATTTAGTTTAAGCCCAGAGAGATGCCATTGTTTTTCAGCTCTTTTGTTCTCTGTAAGAAACTCATGATGGTTTGAAAAGCAGAAGTTCATTTGAAAATAAAATGCCACATTTTTCAATTGAATTTAAAGCCAGTGAAAAATATTGCTTGATTTTTAACTCTTGCACCGACTTCACACTGAACTGCTGCCTGCAGACAAGAATCAGCTTGAATATTTAGATACACATTTGACAATGCTCAGAACAGAGCTTGTGTCCTCTTGTGACCAACCAACAGGGTGGCTACAGAAGCCAAAAATCTTTATTGACTTCAGAGCCAGGGACCAAATTTACAAGGAGAATTTCTACTCTTGGGAGTTCAAGCATTTCAATGACTTGGAGGTCGGTGCCACAGCAGCTGTACTGTGAAAGACATGGTACATCCTGCCACAAAATATCCTGCAGGCACTGATCTCTGCCTTTGGGGCTCTGGAGAACAGCACTGCCAGATGTTGAGGGCCAGATGTGAGCACACCCTTCAGCCTGAGCTGCCCCAGGTCAGGGGTCCAGCAGAGCCAACCGTGCCGGCCACGGGAGCTCAGGCTTGGCCACAAGGAGTGGCAGCTGAGGATCAAAGTTTCTCCACTCAGACATGTGGAAGCCATGTGTACATCTCTCTGCTGTAGTGGCTGTGCCCTGGGGAGCTGCCTGCCTGTGGCTGGGCGTGCTGGGCTCCTGAATTCCCGCATTAGGGAGCTGGCAGGGCACCCTGAGCCCGGGGAGGGCCGGGTCATCTGTCCCCCCAGGGCCCTTCAGAGCTGCTTGTGGTCCCTGCTGCCCGTGGAACCTGCCAGCCTTTGAGTCTCAGACAATTGACAAACTCCAGTGGCTGCTCCCAGCTCAGTGGGGCTTGGGACAAGGTTTGACATCTACTCTGCGTTCTCATACTCCACCTTTCCCTGCTTTCCCAAGGAAAAGGCTCACACAGAAGAGAGCAGATCCTGCTATTTGGTCTTGCCTTTATTCATGTACCTGCAAGGCAAGTAGAGGAAACGTCTCCTGATGCCTGGGAAGACAAATTATTTCAAGATGAAAGGGGTTTTTTGCTAGCTTTCCAAGGGCCAAAGCTTGAGAGTCCTAAAATCTGCAACCACTCTAAAGAGCATTGCCCTGTACCTCAGAGCCTCTTTCAGGAAACCTCTTCAAGGAAAGGAGGAATTTGTTAAAAATAATTAAAATACTTTCTCACAGGAAAACATTAACTGACTGGAGAACAGCTCAAACATCTAAAATTCAGCTTCTCCCCCCCAAAAAAACAGTGAGAATGCAGCCACATCTCTGACAGACACATCTTCTTGATTGTGTCAAGAAATCTTGGATTAAAATAGAGGTAAACACATATGTTTGAAGATTTGGATGTGTTCTCTACCAAGAAAAAAGACTCAGAAAAATATACAGAAATTTTGATCTTTGTGTCATCTGCTGTGATTTCTGTCAGCTTATGTAGTAGGAGATATATTTTTCACTCAAATTTGAAAAAAAAAATATTCTATTTGTTCCTTATCTAGTTGTTCTGGCTTGCAGGTGTTCAGGGACAAATATTATTGACAGGTGTTTCCTGGGAGCTGCCTTAATTGCACAAGTTGAAAAACTGTCAATCTATTTTTGCCTCTCCTGAGGACACAGCAACAACCACGCAGTCCAAAGGTCTTTTTCATTGTGATACCACAGCCACACCTGAGCCCAATGAGCTATAAAGCAAATCTATGAAAAAAAATTCTTTTCAACTCCATTTTTAATAAAAGAAAACTCAGACACATCCAAATAGTTATTCAGCTGTTCCCTGCAATCTGTTCAGTGTTCTGCAAAAGAACATTTTATTAACTCTACCTCTACACAAGAGCAGATTTTCTGTAATTAGATGTTATTACAGAATCAGAGCTTAAAAGGTAGCTCTGAGCAATAGAGTACTGATGGTGGAGAGGAAATTACCACTTCAATAAGACATTCTAACCATGTAAGACGTTTAAATGATACAGACATTTTATTACTAGAAAATAAACCTGTAGAAAACCCTCCTTTCATTTTTTTTCTTTCTTTTTTTTTTATGATTTACAAGGGTCCTGCCACGGCTTATGAATCAGTATTCTCCATTTTAGCCTGATGGTAATTGTTAAAAAAGCACAGAAATTGCCATTTTAGATGTTACTGCTCAAGGCTATCTGTTGTGCCTTGCCTCTGGACAGCATTAAATCTTCACAAGTGCCTACTAACTGCACTTTGGAAGCAAATGGGAGATATTTTTTTGCTAAAACTGTTTCAAATTAGGGATTTCTCTATGAAACCTGTCTCAAGATATCCTCAAAGGCTGTTGGCAGCCTTCTCCAGTGAGGGAAGGAAAGGTGCCAGGGCCCTGCTTCTCGGAGCTGCTCTCTGCAGGACATGGTGTGCTCCCTTGATGTTCTTTCACTGCCAGACCACCTGAAGGGCTCTTCAACCCTGATTGAGAAAACAACGAAGAGACCTGCCTGCAGGCTCTGGACCTGAACCACTGCCACTAAAGTAGCAGTTATGGCAATGCAGTAAAGGAATTACTGTGATTTTCAGCCTTTTGGGCTGGAGGTCATCGGGGCCTTAGAAGCACGACGCAGTAGTTGAGTTTTGAGGCCCAGGCTGTAAGCTTTGGGCCTCAAAAGGCCCAATGGAGGCTGGCTGAACTTACCCCCTCCGGCAAATGACTTCCAGAGCTTCCAGGTACCCGTGGTAGGCTGCCAGAAGGGTGGGAGTCATCCCATCTTCATCTGAAGTGTTGAGGTCTTTCCTGGTGGCCTCCTTCAGCAGGTCCACGTTGCCATCGGCCGCTGCTTTGTGGTACCTGCTCGACATTTTCAGCAGCTCCTGGCTTCCCAAAGCAGCTCTGAGCGATATCCGGGCTGCACAGTCACTCTTCCATCACAGGAGAGTTCATTAATGATTACAAGCTGAGACATCCCTGTGAGGAGGGGAATGGGGAGGCAAAGTTCATCCTTGCAGGCTTTGTCTGGAGATCTGCATAGGGAACGAGGCTGTGGGGTGGGGAATGCTTTCATTTCCTGGAAGGTGGCTCTGCCATGTTCAGTTTGCTGCATAATTGACTACTTAGAGAGGGGATCCAGTCATCGTCTCTGTGTCTTTGCCTGACTGCTCTGTGGAAATTGCAAAAGGACTTTGAAGTACAAAAAGAACCTCAAAAAAACCTTCAAAAGGCCATGATTGTGCAGTGTGACCACCAAGGAATAAAGTTTGATGGGAGGAAAAGCATGAGCAATCACCTTTACTGGTGAAGCCCTTTGTAACCCATCTTGTACTGGGATGCTGTATTTGAAAACAAGTCACTCCCCTGCCAAACCAGGCACTTCCATGGAACCATCTTGTGTACCCAGACTGGAAATGATGCATAGGGTGATGTTGGGGATAAAACCCCCAACAGGTCTGTAACTCACAGCTGGCAAAACCACAGCTGTATAAATTGCATTTCATCAGGAAATCTTCAGGAAACTGGCAAATGTAAAAACTCTTCTGATGGGTATTGTAATCTCTGTTTAGACACAGAAAAAATGTGCAGGATTCTCTCAGGATACCACAGGGAATTCCAGAAAAGGAAACATGATGGGCCTGCACCCACTGCCCCAGCTGGGCACTGTGGTCCTTGCCTGGGAACAGATGGGTCCATTCCCCATCACAAAATTTCTTGATTTAGAAATCATTTCCCCTGAGTTCAGTGCCATTAAGGGCTACCTCTACAACCAGAAACGTACCGAATTAGACTAACTCTAACTTAAAGTTCAAAAGAATTACAAAGAGCAAGCCATATAAAAAGCCAGTTTTCAAACAGCAGCTGAGAAGTTTGGTAAGAGGCTACTGCAGATTCCTGCAGTGCTGCGAGCTCAGGGTTCCTCTGGCCACATTCACAAGAGCTGCCACATAAACATTACTTTTTGCCAAGCTGTTTTCTGTGACTCACTGAATTAACCTGGATCTCAGAGACTCTACTCTCAGCAATTAGCAGTGGGGTTTTGTTGCCTGTTGTGCCCCCATTAGAGAATCACAAACCAACTCCTTGCTCAGAGTTGGTGCAATCCCCAAATGGAATTCTGCCACCTCATTTACATCCCATAATTCTGCCCCTGTGACACACCAGAGACCTCTCAAAATAGGCTTTCTCTCTTCATTATTTTCTCAGACGGGCATTGAAGAGCTCTTCAGGAATGAACTTGTACCAACCTTTTTCTTCCCAAGAGGACAAGGAGAGCCAGTGACAGGTTTGAACCTTTGAATAACGAGCTCCAGCTCAGGGTAAAGCAAAGCCCTGGTTGTCCCTCGTGTCACCCAGACACTGCTGTCCCTGTGCTGTCCTGCCCTCTCAGGGCAGTCAGCATGGGCTGTGCCTCACCCAGGCCAGTGTCCATCCCCACTTTAGAAGACAGTTTTACTCTCAGCCCTTTCTCAGGTTTCCTGCACTGCATGAATACTTTTCTAATAAAAATGCAGCCATTTATTCTGTTTTCTATTTAACCAAGCTCAGCACGGAGCTAAATTTACAGCTACAAGAAAAACTAGCTGTTGCAGACCAAAGATAGGTAATACATGTATATATATATATAGCATCAGCTGTTTATTAATTTTGAATTTGAATTTTAAATCTAAATTGAATTTAAATTGAATTTTATATCTTTTACTAGGCCTTTTTTCAGGGGTAAAATGATCACCATTCACATACTGCATATACCACCAGTGCCTAGTAGGAGAGAGGAAGCATGATACATTCATTATAAGTGATTTGGTGGCAGAAGGGTCCTTTTAATTTTCAAGATCCTTAGTTTTTGCTACAGAAGTACCTTATTTTGCCTTTTTCTTAATTAATGCAGCACACAAGTGTTGATCTCAGAGAGATTTTTACCATTAACATCTGAAAATATTAATTTTATTGATATAAAGCCAGTGGGAAACTATTGCTCCAAGTTTTAATTAGAGGTAAAGTAAAACCCATGTCAGTTGGGGAGAAGCTTCAGACTTTGCAAGCTTTGTTATTATTTCTGTTGTAAAAGTGGGCATCACAAAAAAAGTAGAAAAAGAAAAGAACAAACAAAATCTTCATCTGTTTTTAAACTCCTGGTACTTGTTCATTGTTGTCCCATCCAAAAACCTCAACTTGAAATGGAATAAATGATTCAACATCAAATGAGGTAAATTTCTCAGCCTGAATGGAGATTATTCTTTTGAGACTAAAGCTCAAAATTGTGAACTTTTTAAACTCCCTGGATAGTTAGAATGAAGCTTTTCTTTTTGTGTTTGAAAAGAACTTCAGAACCATTCCACTTCCAATTGAAATGTCTTACCAGGCCCATGAGAAACTCTGTTGTGATGGTACATGGTGTTGTAAACTAATGAATTATTTAACCAGCAGCTTTGATTTGTTATTGGATTTCCCTGTGTATATGGGTATTACTCTATTAATTTGAGAACTGTCTCAAATAAAATATTGCCAGTAAAACAAAGTATTTAGATTGAAAGGCTGCAGCATCACCAGTTAGGTTGTTGTAGATAACTTGGAGCATAAATCTGCACAGTGATGTTGTGCCATCTGTTTTGCATGAGGTATTTTCCTGCACAACATTTCCTCATTGCAACTTTTATAAGCACCAAATGTGTTATGGTAAAGGCCATGCAAGGGGAGGCAAGTAAGTCTCTGTTTGCCTAATGAGATCTTTGGAGCTAATGGGCTCAGAGAAGAATGAAATTAGTCACACTGGGTAATCGTGGCTACACAATTCAGAGATGATGACAACATTTAAAACAAAAATAAGAGCTTATTTCTTCACTTCTTAGGGAGGCAAAACTTCTGTGCCCCGGGACACACTACTGCTGGATGTCCTCTGGAGCAGCCAGTTCCCACACCAGGCTGAGGGTCACCCATGCCAGGCTCAGTGTGACACCCACCTGATGTGGTTGCTGCTCTGCTCTGGGTCCAAGGGCATCCCTTGAAGAGCCTGCACACAGCAGGGCTGGGAGCAGTGACATTTGCTGTTGTATCACAGGGACTTTTTCAGTTTTTGCTGTGAGTGCTCAAAAGTAGAAGTCCTGAGCTGGCATTCAGGCTCTTTGCCTTGTTAAAACATTTTCCTTGGTTTTGGGGATCTTTTCCCCCATGATATCTTCACCAGTGCTTCAAATAGTCCCAAGGAAAGCCACGCTGAGCTCACTGGTGTCTCAAATGCTGTCACGCTGGCACAGAAAACTCCATTAAAAAAAACAACTGCCAAAACAGACATGCATTTTTCCATGAAATATCTAACATGGGAATAAAGGGAATACATTATCAGAGCAAGAAAATGATATAACATTTAAATAGAACAACACCTGTTAAAGACTTAGTATTCCTTAAGGTCTCCTGTGAGCTGCCCCACTCAAGGAGCAGCAGGTGCAAGTGCTCTGTTCCCTGGGCAGCAGAGAGGTGGCACCTGTGTGAGCCAGACCCAGGGCCTATAAAACCCTCCCTGGGCAGCCAAGGCCAAGCTTGTGGTGCCCTGGAGAGATGGGGTTTGAGCAGCAGTGCTGGAGTACCCTAAGGATGTGGTGAGTGTGGTTTGGGACACAAGGGGAGCTGGGACCTTTCCTTGCTGCTCTCTCATTTGAGTCTCTTTTCTTTGCAGGTTGCTGTTCCTGTTTGGGTTTTTGCTGTGCTTAGCCCCTTGTGCTGATGGCCTGGGGGACCAGGATCTCTTGGGTAATGAGCCCTCTCTGGGCTGGCTGTGGTGGGGAAGTGGGCTTTGGTTCGCTTGGGGCTGCCTCCCCTCTGCCTTGGCATGGGAGGGGCTCTGAAGGGTGCCTGGCTGGGGGCTGCCAGGGCGTGTGCCTCCAGGAGGGTTTGCTGAACTCATGGTGGCCTTCCCTCTGCAGAGAATGTGACCTGCCACAGGCATGGGATGGAAGTTCAATTTTCCAGAGCGCTTAGTAACTACTCCTGGCATGTGTGTGTTGTTGGTATGTATTGCTGCTGCCCTGGCCCTTCCTGCTGAAACCTGCCTACTGCAGGGCTAATCTTCCACATCCCTCCTAGATGTGAGTGGCGAGGAGATGGTGTCCTGTGACCACACTGTGGATTATGAGAGGCTGATACTCAGTGTCCTGTTTGTCAACTGCTCCAGCCTGCAGGTAAAGGCCTCTTCATCCTGGGAAGCTGCTGTGGTGGAGTTAGGAGACGTTTAAATTTTTTCCCTGGACAGGACTGGGTTTAATAGGGTTTCTACTTCTAACTTTCTTCAAGACTGAGGATACTCATACTTCTGATAATCTAAAACTCTTATGGAAGAACACTTCATGCCAAAACTGAAAAAGAAAACCAAACCCAAAGCTACTGAAATTTATTGTTTCAACTATGCATTAAATCACTTGGCCTGCCATAAATGTTATGCTCTCCTGTGGAGGACTTGAACTACTTGACAGGTTTTCTTGTAGGGAGGTGGACCAGGTCAAGAGTTTCAGAGCACCAACCTATTTAAATGTGTATTGACAGACAATTAACACCCTATGCTGATCATAGCTGTTGAGGTAGAGTAGTAAGTGGGATACCAAAACCAGATGTTTTACTGCTTTTAAGTATTTCAAATACCACAAGACTCTGTTCTGCTGTTTATTAGCTTAGTTTTTTTGGGCAACTGACTGTCTGGTGCTAAAACCTGCTACTCCTTGGAGTTTTCTTCTTGACTTCTGCAGTTATCTTTGCATCTTCTGCTCTTTAATCTAACCCTGTGCTGCCCTGCTTTCATAAAGAGCTCATCCTTTTCCTTTGAGCTTTTAAAACAAGAAGTCACCTTGTCCTTGCACTGGTACAAACACCTAAACCA